AAGTGGCGAATTAAAAAAAATTGATGAATTTTTGAAAAATGAATCTGATTTCTGCCACAATTATTTGGTAACTGAAATGGCATTTTATTCCGGCAAGGTCACCTCATTTTGGGGATATTTGGGAGGCAAATGTAAAAAGAACAAAGTACCATTTAAAACGTGTCATGGGAGAGTCCCATCTAAATTTTGAACAGTTTAACACTGTACTTAACTCCAGACCCCTATGCCCTCTTTCTTCCACACCTGATGAATTAATTCCATTGACACCCGCTCACTTCCTGTTGGGACCTACATTAACTTCGCTACCCTAAAGTCACTAAATATAGAAAGTACCGCAATCCATTGGGCTCGTGTGTTAGAGAGAGAACGCATGATTTTTGCCCAAAAATGGCGGAAGTTACCAGATTCTAGTAACTTTAATGTTAGTGATTGTTCCACCTGTTTGGAGATATCTGTATATATTTTTATAAAACATGACAGTACTATGAAGTTAGGTTATGAAAAATGACAGCTATTCAGATTTTATTTGTCAATTTCTTTAAGTTGGCAGCAAATTTGCCCAAAAATGGCGGATGATTGCGGTACTTTCTATATCTAGTGACTTTACGCTACCCGAAAGGAGTTATATGAACATTAAGGAAAACAGGTTAAATATTTCGAACGGCTAAAAAAAAATTGTGCAGCACTTCTGGATACGTTGGCATCGTGAATATCTTGGCGAGCTTCAGACCAGAAGCAAATGGAAGCAGAGTGCTCAACAAAAACTAAACGTTGGGACCATCGTGCTTCTTAAAGAAGAAAATACACCACCGATACAATGGCACATGGGACGTATCACCGAGCTTCACCCAGGCACAGACAACATTGTGCGTGTAGTCTCTGTGTTAGTGAACAAAAGAATAGTAAAACGTGCAGTGACGAAATTATGTATTTTCCCAAATGAAAATGACAATCCAAATATCTTGTAAATATTTATGCATGAATTTTTTTTGTAATTACGAAAGACAGTTAGACTATATATTATCATTGTATTTATGTTCTAAGTACTTGTTTATTTGTTTATGTATTTTGAAAATGTATTTACATTGTTCAAGGCGGCCGGTATGTTACGGCCATGATTAGTCGAGGGAGAAGTTAAGGCCTTAACCGGTTGCCACCCTAAAGAAGTTATTCACATTTAGTAGTATTAAGTAGTTGGTTGAAGTATTCTGTAGTAGATCAATAAATAGTTGTAGTTAACAAGAGTGCTTTTACCATTCCTTCAACCACAACGAAAAATATATATACAGTCCACTACAAGAAAAATCGAGAATAAACACGCGGTTCTAATTGTGTCAAACAACTTCCATCATGAAGCGCGGCCCTGCGTCAATGATTTGTGAATCAGATACAGACAAGTTTTTTTAATCGGTTTCGATTCGATCGCTATTTCCCTTAAGTTTCTTATGGGATTCTTTTCCACAAAAATTACAACATTCAGTTTCATGACCTCCGTTAAAATTGGGGGTTGTTTAGGGTGTCTTATGTGGATCGCATTTTAATAACCACTCATTTTAAAGTGATGAACCCAGAAACGCTCCTGAAACTATTACCGACACTATACAAATTGACAATATGAAGTGTTTCTTCAGCAATAATAATCCAATGAATTAATATGACAACAAAATCTTCATTTGTTTTAAGAAGTTATTTTAGTTGCATAAAATTAGACGTACTTCAACAGTTTTTGTCATTTAAAACTGGACATAGGAAATCTCTATGTCTACTTCTAAATGAATATCACGGTATAATCTGCAAAGTTTAGCACCGATAGTTTATTAAGATTCTCTCCACTTTCGTTGTCCGGCCAAGAATTCCAGATTCGTGATTTTCATGTTAAAAAAACCCCAGATACCAAATCACATCGAAATGAGATTTTTTCGCCCTTTCGTGGTAGGAATTTTGAAAAAAAAATTTTCAAAATCGGATAAAGTATACTGGACTAGAGTGGTCAATAACGCTTTGCGCCCAAGAGTTTACTCGATGAACTACAAACGGAGCAGGTTAATTCTAATCCCAGCAGTAATGGGGACACCGACCCATCTGCATTACTGAATTTGCCGGTAAACACATACAAAAGATTCTAAACGAGGGGCTGGACTCAACTCTCCGCGGCCGAATTTGCTTTCAGGAAGAGAAAAGAAAATCCACCGTCGACGCTCTGAGAGAAATAGTAGAACAGTGTGGAGGATCAGAGAGGTAGGCGTCATTGGACGTCAAGAATGCCTTCAGCTCTGCATTCAGGAAGACTCGTGTGTAATGCGGGAGCGGAACCCCTACTCCGGAGCATTATGTATGACGGAACGCGGGTGAGGGGTGAATAGTGATGGTGGGACTTGACTGTGAGTCTTTCTAAACTGCTTCCACAAGATCGTGGTTGAGATGGAGAACCAGCAGGACAGGCATGTGAAAGTCTTGTTAGTGGTGTAGTGGGCGAAGTGCTTGCATTTTGACGCAAATCTTAGCAAGTGCTTTTGGGCAGAATCTGTCAGCACTGCCGTTTACCTAAAAAATAAATCTCCAGCGACTGCACCAACTGCACCATATGGTATGAAAAACAACCTGCTCAGATGTTCCCAAACAAAAAGACTAAAATAGCACGGAAGCCGATTCTGGCTACGTGAAATCGACATACGAGCCCTGTGTATTCGTGAATTAAAGGCTAGAAAAAGCTGACGGCAATCGCCTTATTCGGTAACGAGTAGTCGGGCAGGTTCAAGGCAAATCGACAATCGCAATTCAGCATTGCAGATTTGGACGAAATCAGCAACAGCCTCGGATTGAGACTCAGGACGAACCCGTGAGTATGAGGGACGAGTAATTTTGGAGGAAGGGACGTATGGTAACGACAGGTACCAAGGATCAGTACTTGCTATTGGAGAAACGCGAGAACACGCCTCACCGCCTATACTGATGCAGATTGGGCGAGTGGTACTATCGATAGGAAATCATACACAGGATTCTGTTTCCGGCTTGGAAATTCGACGATTGGGAGAGCTCGAAGCAGGAGTGTGTGACGCTGTCCAGTAGCAAGGCGAAATACGTAGCCATCATCGAGGCCTGCAAAGAACCGCTTTATCTGCGAAGGATCACTGAAGAACTCATCGGAGATACAGGTGCACAGTGATAACTAGATTGCGCAGAAGTTATCCGTGAATCCAATCGTATCGATGTGCGTTATCATGTTGTATAGCGAGTGGTGCAGTGTTTTGAATTATGTGGGCACAAATGACATGATTGCAGATATTTTTACAAAAGAATTGTGTAATAAAACATAGTGCGACTACTATAAAAGTTTATGTCCAAGTTCACTTATGTCTCCGAAAATCAGAATATGGCTTCGCTTTCATAGAGCTCTACGAAAGTCCAACTTTTCGGCAAGTCGATATTAATTCCTATTGTGGAAGGTTTTACTTGAAAATACATTCTGTGGTTGTGTACGGTTTCGTTCACTCATTTCACGATTTCTGTATGCGTAATTATTCAATGGTAAAACCGTACAACTAAACAAGCAATGCAGGATAAGTCACGCCGCAGCTACAAAGGCGGTATCTAACGGAAAACTGATGAGTATTTAATGGATGAAAGGTAGATGACGTAAAAAAATTATATAAACCTCTCATCGTCTCATCACAAGCGAAGACGTAATAATAGTAGAAGACCTATTGAGGTTAAGATGACAAACCAAGCATGGCAAATTAAATGGCTAAATTATAACAAGCTTCAGCTTTATCTCAAACCAAGTTTCATCTACTAGCAAACCGGCACTTAATGTTGTCAGAGGTGTGTATTTTATTGGATATTGTAGGTATAAAGACTATTTATTTAAAAATCTAGTTAACAGCGAATTTAGTTCTCTATTGGCAGTTAACCTCCTTACCTAACGGTTGATCCAACCTGAAATAAGTTATCCAAAAAGAGATGAAAATCTCAAGAGAAAAAAGGGATTACATTGATTTACTTAATTAAATGAGAGGATCCGAGCACAAAGGCAATCGGCGAGGTGAGCGATATACGTTATAAGAAGCGGCGAAAAGTAATCCCGATTTTATCAAATAAAAATCGGAGATGATTAGATTATTATGTAGGAGATTCGTCAGATTGCAGTATGGAACGACAAAAATTGAACAAATTCAATACTAAATTGCTATCAAAGCAGAAATTTTAAAGAAGTTTGACTCTCCCGAGTTTATTTAACATACTATCTGATTTGAAAAGTTCGCTTATTTAATTTCGATGGATCAACGATTTTGGTCAAATAGAATTATCTCGACAACTTGGAATAAATGAGAGAAATATTATGTAAATGTAATTTCAATTTTCAAGAATCATTCAGTTTTTTATATGTTTTACGTTTTAAAGTATTTGGAGGGTAGATTCTATGAATTTTATATTTCGTAACGCTGCCTTACTTTGTATGTGATGTGGTCAATATTTAATAAAACAATTTAGGCTAATGAGTATACAGAGAAATTCTTTTAAGAGAATGCATACATTAATTCCTCTATGCATCCTTTAAAATGGACCAATCACAAACATTAGCAATTTGAATAGCACCTATTAAGAAATGACAGTCAAAAACCTAAGACACAATTTAGCTTGTCCTTACATTTACGTCCCCAATGATCAATTTTTGCACACCGAAAACATGCACGCTTATCATTAAACATTTCCTCTTCTCGTCGGGCGTAATTTTTTGACCCTTAAACCATTGCTCAGCTGCATGATTCCCTAGAATCTAGGGCCTAGATGATTCCCATCGCAAAATGTGCACCTAAAAAAAGAGGTTATATCCATTCTGATAAGACCGGACGCTGTACTAGTCTTAGCTTCCGACTTCAATTCTAGGTTTCTTGAATTTCTCATCGTTGCTTAGTGAAAATCCTTCAATGGCTAGAGTGACTCTCTTGTCATTTTCCACCTCTGAATGTACGAATTTCATTACCTTAGGGTCATTTCGCACCAAGCCAGTCCAGTCCAGTCGCGTCCAGTCAAGTCGGACGCTACTGGATTGCAAATATTAATTTATCGTTGAAATAAGGGCAATGTATAGATCTGGTTTCATACTAAGCGCGTCACGTCCAGTCCGATCGCGTCAAGACTTGTCAAGACTGATTGCGACTCAGCCGGTTGAATTTTTAATGCCAGTCTTGACAGTCGTGCACTTCAGAATGGATGTGGAAACCTTGATTTCATTAGTGCAAGCAAAAGAGGCAATCTACGATCCTAAACACCCGAAGCACAGAGATCGTGATTTCATTGCTGCCGTGTGGAGAGGCATAGCCAGAGAATTAAACACAACTGGTAAGTAGGTATTTATTGCAGTATATTTTCATGAAACAAAGATATAGATCTATAAAGTCTAGATAACATCCCGACATTTTTCGTTTTGCCATGGTACAGAACCTCCTGGAGACATAAAATACTCTGTTAATTTTTCTCGGACCTGCAGCGCCTTTGTATTTGCTCTGTGAGTACTTGTAGGTCTCAACGACTGAAGTTGAAGATTATTGGAATTTTGTTCCAAAAACTCAGTTTCCAGAGATTTGTCACTTTCGTTTTGAGTTTGACGTACAAAATTGTGTATTACGCAAGCACTTTTAATTGAGCCTTCGGTTAACTGTATATCAGTTTCGATAGCTTTTTGAAATATACCAAATTTTTTAGTTAATATGCCAAACGCACACTCTACCGTTCGTCGTGCTCTGGACAACCGATAGTTGAATATTCTGTTGGCAAAATTTAACTGCCTACGAGCATAAGGTCTCATTAAGTTTTCACTCAAAGGAAATGCCTCGTCGCCTACTAAATAAAAAGGCATATTAATATCAGTATTAATAATTTCTTGAGAGCCAGGGATGTTTAGTGCGTTGGCTTTAAATGCTCTTCCCATTGTAGATTCTGAGAAAACTGTGCTATCGTTGTCTCTACCATACGCTCCTACGTCGATCAAAATGAAATTGCTTTTTGCATCGGCGACAGCCATTAAAACCACAGAATGAAAATGTTTGTAATTGTAAAACTGAGAACCAGCGTTTGGCGGACACTTTATTCGGCAGTGTTTACCATCGATACTCCCGACGCAGTTCGGCATTTGGCAAATTGTATAAAATGATTGCGCAACGTCTCTCCATTTCTCTGCTGTAGGCACAGGCATATACAACGGTTGCAAAATAGTCCAAACTACTTCATTCAGTTCTTTCACTACATAATGAATAGTACTGATTCCCATCCGAAAGGTATAGCTGAGGGATGTAAACGATTCTCCTGTTGCCAGATACCTACAACACAAGAGGTACACAACATATATTTATTGAGTTGCTGTTTTACGATAGATATGTTTCCTTGAATGAATTGTCTGCCCAAATAAACAATCCTATTCCTGTTTTTGGTTTCAGACGCAGAGGTCAAGGCAAAATGGCAAAATTTACGAAGCAATTACATGCGAGAAAAACGAAAACTGAAAAGTGTCCCTTCTGGGGCCGCTACAAACAGTGTCCCGAAAATAACATGGCCGTATTTTAAGTTCCTGTGGTTTTTGGATCCTACATTAAAACATAAAGCAACGTCGGGAAACGTTCCGGAATCCGTCACTGCCAATACTGATGACACTTCTGAGGGTCACATTGAGTCGCAAGATGAGCTTCAAGAAGAAAGCCAACAGTCGCCCCCAGACTCGCCACGAGCGCTTGAAGAAGACTTTCATCAGCAGGCATACGACGTCATTCGTACATCAAGTTGCGCTACTCCTGCTTTTGGCTCACTCACTCGAAGGAAACGACAAATTCAGACAAATGAAACGGAAAATGCAATGCAAGACGTTCAACGCGAGACACAGGGGGATCGTCAGGAGACGTATCCAGACATTCGTTCGCCAAGTGGTTCCACACGTTCTGATGACTTACTACTTCGGGGGAAAAGACAAAAGAAAAAAATTGATACCGAAAATGAAATTGATAGGCAATACCTTAAACACCTACAGGCAATTTCGGATAACGCGAAAGATGACCAAGATCCGGACTTATTGTTTCTACGAAGTTTACTTCCATCCATGAAACAACTTGGACCTCTCGAAAATTTAGAATTTAAAGGCGAAGTCATTAATTTATTACAGACAAAGATACGTTCTCAATCGAATCCACCATCAGTCGCT